AAAGATATCAAAAGAACGTGTTGGCTTCATATTGCATGAGCATTGGACTATGAGAAAGCTCTCTTCAAAGTGGGTGCGGCGCGAGGTCACTGTTGACAAAAAACAATGTTGACAATGGATCCATCACTCCACTCCGGAATCAAAGCGATCGTTATCTGAATGGATAGCAACTGCGTGAACCTCGTCCAAAGCGCACTAAAGCAGATATTTAGTTTAATCTTCCTCTTAAAGATGATCACTCGGTGATCGAAAAACGCGTCGAGATGTTAAAATAACGGTTTGATGTTGGGATAAAACTCCAGTAATTTTTGTTTCCGCCACGCCTACAGTCTGCGCCGGTACGAATCTACCCCCCGATCGCCGTGTCTGGAGCGAGAAGAGTTTCACTATTCTAGCAGTTACCATCACAACAGCATTGAGTGTCGAACTATAAGGACCGTCGGTCAACGGCATTCAACTCATTCAATATCAATATATGTATTAATAGTATTTTATTGTAAATAAATCATTTGCTCAATATATACAGTCCACCTATACCACTCATACAAAACAACAAGGAAAAACAATTTTCATTACTACACCAAATGTTCCAAACAATGCGTCACAAAAATTAAAACGATGGCAAAATTGCATGAAATAGGCTTCGAATTACTCCCGCAGTTACCGTATTCACCAGACTTGGTTTCCAGCGACTACTGGCTGTTCGCAGACTTCAAAAAAATGCTCATCGGTAAGAAATTTTGCTCGAATGAAGAGGTTATTGATGAAACTGATGCCTATTTTGAGGCAAAAAATAAATCGTTCTACAAAAGTGGTATTGAAATGTTAGAGCGACAATGGAATACTTGTGTCGCTCTTGATGGAGATTACGTTGATGAATGAAGCCAATTTTTAACAAAAAAAAACACGTTTCCTTTCTTAGGCCCGGGACTTTTCAGCCCAGGTGTTACTAAACTCTTCCAAAAGTTTTGATAAATATCCTCGTTGAGTAACACATTTTGTTTATGCACGCAGTAAGTGGCTGTGACACGATTTCTGAGCTCTTTATAAAACGGAAAAACTTTTCTAAGAAAACTCCAGAAACTTCAGAATGTGCTGCAGCATTTGAAGAAAAAAACTGACCGGTTCAAACATTTGAGAGTGGAGTGAAAATCTTGTTAGCAATCTATAATTCTACTCCAGAATCTGAGGAAAGTATCAGTAACAAAACTGAATGAACCTATGAAGTTATCAAAGTTATCCACCAACGAGTGCATCAGCTCACCAACATTCCAACCTTGTTTATTGTCAAGTTCAGTCTTGGTTATAGGGCATAATTTAGAACCCCAGGATCGGATTTGGATAATGCGTGATGAATTTCACCACCACAATTTTACCACCAGCGCCAGAGGAATTGATTTACACAATATTCAGGAACTGCAAGAATGGTTGTGGTTCGCGATGTGGATGCAGGAAAGCAGGGTTGCAGTGATCTTTAGCTTGTGGCCAGTGTGATCAGATCAGAGTGATGTCAATGAAGACGGAACTATTGACTACGAAATCCTGGAAGAACTGGGGACAAACGTCATTGAAGATGAGAACGAAGAAAAATTTGAAATTTTACTGTGCAAGCGGAAGACGATGATACATAAGAAGAATCAAATTGAAAACAGAATTTGTAGTTCCAATTATTATTCATTTTTTTATTTCAACGTTCATAAATGTATATAATGATATTTTTAATAGAAACATTACTTACAAATTTAATTATTTTTCTGTTAGGAAGTAATAAGTATAAATTACATCAGAAATAAAATGTTATTAAAATATTTCCCTTAATAACGTTTTAATTAAACGAGTAGCTAATGAATGAATAGATACACAATTAATAAAAACAGTTATTGAATAAACCTAATAGTCTAATAGTTGATAAAAGATGCAAATTATTCAGAATTATGTATTGAACAATAATTTATAGACTTTATACGGCGTGTTTTCAATCGGAACTACCGGTTGACCTCGAATGATACCATTTAGTTAACACTGCGCGCTCTGCTCTCTATCTCTAGAATGGTTCGAGATATAAAAAAATTCAAACAAAAGTTGTAGAGAATTTAATCCTCTACAAAATTTATACTACCGCGACTACCTAAAATATCGGTAGTCGCGGCCACTCTACGATAAGTAGGTTTTGAGACAACTTTAGGGTGTCAAAATAAAGGTTTGAACAAGTTTTTCATGTATAAACTGAATGAAATAAATCAAACACTGAATGTGACGTCAAGACCGCTGCCAGCTATTAGTTACACTTTCATGATATGCATTGATTTCAAGCAACCTATGTACCTGCGTTCTTCTACCAAAAGCTGATTTGCTCAGCTTTTGGTAGAAGAACGCAGAACCTCAGATCGAATATACTGGTGATTACTTTTTTATATCTAAACTTTGATATGCTTTCCACCACCCATCAGTTGTTATCTTCTCCTATTGAGGCCAAAACGTTGAGAGTCGAATAGAAGCATTTCACAGTTTTGGAGTTGAAGAAGTTGTAGACATTAAGAGAAGAGCTCATCTTGAAAATCCAACCGATATCATCATAATTCTCTTAATTTGATGAATAATTAAATGTGAGCACGTTTTTTCAGATTTTATGTAAACTTCTACATAATTTTAAATTAATTATAAACTTCTACAGTCGAAATAAGCAACTAAAGACTTGAACAATTAACAAAACATTTTAATGAATAGTTTTCCCAAATGTGTTGAAACAACGTGGGAGAAATGATGCCAGACAGGAATCTATTTTTAAAAAGAGTGGCAAGCTTCACACAAGAAAAATAATATTCCAATTTTCATCACTAAGAATTTGGACACGATGGAAGATAGAGAGGCGATTGAATAGAGACAAAGTGGTGTTATTTCAGAAAAAACTAAATTAGAAAAAACTAATTTCTCACTAATTCTGAGAATATTAGGGAATATGTTCATTCTCATAATTTTGAAGTGAGCTTGTTCTTGCGTTATCTTATGCATATGAGAAATGAACATTCCATAAGTTTTGTGGTCACCAAGTAAAAGTAATTTTCTATACCATAAATGAATTATCAAAAATTATATCACAAAAATTATGAAAAGTAACCGTTAAAATATTAGAGAATTGTCAATAAGTGGGACACGTTAATGTCAATTTGAATCATATGAAAAGAGAGTGAATGTATAAATTTCAAATTGTTAACTGTCAGTAAAAATGGTAATACTCTGACCTAAACTTTTTTGTTTCAAACAAGGCTCTGATGAATAATTTTATAATTTCAGTTCCTCAAAAATTCTGAATACATTGGTTTGAAATAATATTTCACATAACAAGCATGATAAGTACCGCTTAACATATTACTGAGATGCTTTTTGGTATGCTTTTTGAAGAGGTGCACTTTGTGCCTCTATAGTACTAATAAACTTATGTTACTGGTATGTCTCCTGGATAAGTTGTGAGACTGTTAACTATAAGTATAACAAACAATCAGTTTGTTGAAACTGGTGAAAAAAGAGCTTGAAAATCAAATTTAATCAGAATAATAAAGCTTACCACAACACATTAGTGAAAAGTGCACCCAAATCGCATGACCCGTTTTTGAAATTGGCGCGCTCAAACAAACAGATAAACGTTAAATAAATAAAAAGATTCAAATTTCGACAATGTACAACGATCAATTACACTTTTATTTTGATATGTAATGAAAGCTTGAGAGTAGAAGATGGAACAAGAACGAAGTAAATGTGTGTCACTGATTTCGACTATTTCACTGGGATTTTTTGAGACAAATGTTTTAGAGACGACGACAACTTACTCTCATCATTTCTTGAACTAGGTATGTAGCTTCAGTGAAAAGGTGTGTAGGTCGGCTCTTTTTAGTATTTGAAAATTGAAGCTAATTGAATTGATGGATATTTCCACTCTCTGTTTTATTTATTATTTATTTATGGATGGTATTTGTAAGTGAAAACATGATTTCTTGTACTGTGTCTAGTGTTTTTATGGTGATTCGTTAAAGTTAGTTAAAATTATTTCAAACTAGAATAACTGGGGATAATGCCATTTTTCAGCGATTTCTATACATTTTTATACCACTGTTAGTTTTGTGATCATGGGAAAAAATACAAAAAAATATTTCGTCGATCTTTCTTCGATAATAATTCTTGACATAAATTCGACAATCTAAACACACATGTAAAAACATGGACGAGTTTTAATATCTAGCCACAAATATTAACATACACCGAACAGACCGGGTTCTCACTGAAGACGAAACGTCAGTATTAGCACGAAGTGGTAATTTCGCGAGCATGTCGCGCCAAGTATCAAACGAGGAAATTTTCGCCAACACGGAAGCGGCAATCAGGAATTTACCGGATGAGGAAGCGGAATAAAATTGGATTGTGACAGCAAATATTCTGAGAAAGGCACCACCGCCAAAATGCAACATCCCAAAAAGAGAGATTGCAGCCTTAAAAAGCTTGAACTCTGATAAGGGTATCACGATTTTTCCAGCCGACAAGGAAAATATCACGGTGCTTCTAAAAGCGGAAGAATATACCAGCAAAATTGAAGAACTTCTAGACCCTTCAAACTACCGCTAACTTAAACGGGACCCAACACTATCAAGGTTGAGGAACATTAACAACATTATTAAATCTTCCTCACTGTCGGAAACCGTACAAAGAATCATTCTCAGAACTGAAGCCGTTTCACCTAGGGTATACGATCTTCCGAAGGTACATAAACCAGCTTGCCACTGAAATCAGTGCCCCAGGCTCGCTGACCTACCACCTGGCGAAGCATCTGTCCTCGCTTCTCCAGCCTCATGTTGTTGAAACAAACTTCTACGTCAAGGATTGGACATACTTCGTTGATAACATTATGGACTTTTTAGGATTGTTTTCCTAAAGAGTGCCACACGTTCCACGCCGACGTGATGCGCTGAACGTGTTAGACCGACTGCTTGGAGAGGAGTCTATTCGGTTTCACACTGGGCAATAGTCAGGTTTTGTCTGTCTCGGTACGTTTATTTTTTTGTGTGTAGTGTTTGTGATTTGACTGAAATGGAGAAAACGCCGGCAAATGTGCAAAAACTGCGTTTTTCGGCTGATTAAGACGAACTTCTGATAGAGTTTGTTCAACGCCATAGCATTTTATATGATTTAAAAGATCCAGAATTTCAAAACAACGTGAAGAAAGATCTTATCTGGAATGAAGCCGGAAAAGTCCTTAATAGAGATGGTGAGTTTTTTCATTTTCTTATTTTTGAAACAACAAAATTGTAATTCATTTAAAAACAAATGAAATTTTTTTAACGAAATATAGCAAATTGGGTTCTACTCCCTCTTCAATTCTTCTCGTGAAATATATTTTTTGGTTCAATAATAAAATTCTTATTGAATAATTCATTCAATTGCGATATACTGGCTTAAAAGTTTTATTAAAGAAAATCAGAAAATACATTTTTTGAACTCATAATTCAATAACAAACAGTAGAAGTAGTTCTCTAGGAAATGGATGAGCCCAACCATCGAGAATTTTTAGAAAAAGGATGCGTAGTGGGACATGTTAACAGAGCTACCGTTCCAAGAATTATTTATCACGTATACAGTCATTGAAATGTTTATTTGACATTCTCAAAACTGAAATATGCGAAAGTTGTTATTTAAAAATCAACAAGTTGTTTAAATTTTATTCGTCATTCTTATTAAATTAAAAATCTGTAACATTAGTTGTTAAATTAAAAACTTCATTAAATTTTATGTCATTTTTATTTATTTTTGCAATATTAGATGTGAATATATAAATGTTAATACATATATCTAATACGTTTTAAAAACTTTTCTTAACAAAATAAAATCGCGTTACATCAAATTTTCACATTATATATGAGGTCGTGCGAAATGAGGTATGATAGAATATTGATAAAAACAACTTTAAAGCTAGTAAAATTTATTTATTAAAATTACATTTACAAGGATAACATGGTTTGGATTACACACCACTGCCGAGGGCTGATTATTATTATCTAGCAGAAGTAGTAGTTTTTCAGTCAGAATCATCTAGGTTCATACTGAAGTAATCAGTGAATCTACTTTTTACTTGAAATCCATCGGATTTCGAAAACCCACCAGTACCTGCAAGAGGAATCAAGTTTTGGGGTTGTAAATCTGTGAAGTTAGGAGTTATATCTGCTCTGAAGAGATTCTCGGATAAGTACTCATCCCTAAGCAAGTTGTTCAAGCAACAACACACAGTAACGACTAAGTCAACAGTTTCTGACTTTAATTATATAGGAGAAAAAAAAATTCTTAAAATCGCGCAAATGATCCCAAAAGCATTTTCAGATAGGTACTCTTCTGGCTTTGCTCAGACAGTAGTAGAACATTCTTTTGTGTCCGTCTTGCAAAATTTGTTGGAGTACGGCTTCATCAGCCGTACTCACTCACTCACTCAAACTGAAAGCTTCGTCACCAACTATTACATAAGGTACCAAGATGTTAGAACCCACATCAATAACTACAAATGTGCAGTTAGCATCGACCATTGCGAAAAGCACAAGTGAAAAAAACCCTTTGTAATTGAAGTAAAGACTTCCTGATGAGAACGGAGCCACAATCCTTACATTTACCATCAATAGCTGATACACAATTAGGGAAACCCGAACACTTCCAAAACTCCTTGGCTTTCTGTTCCCAGTCTATATCGTTAGCAGGGGGCAAAAAAATCGGCACAAGCTTTTTTTGAAGCACAGCAAACACCTTAGGTACTATCGTGATTATAGCAGAAGGTGATATGCGGTAGCCAAAAGCCATTGATCTTTACGACTCTCCTGTGGCCAGAAACCTGAAACAAATGTAATAATAATGTGTTATATATGAAGTTTTAACCATCATTCAAACAATACATTTCATATATTATTTTTTTTCGGATTATATAAGAGGCTTGTTTTGTGTGTTACAGGAGGTGAGTGCAAGAAACGGTGGAAAAATATCACAGACCATTACAGAAGGGGAAAAAAAAAGAAAAAGGATCCACAGAAAGTGCTGCTAAAACGAAAAGGGCAATTTAATGGGAACGGTTGCAATTTTTGGATGCAGTGGAAGATGAACGGGAGAGTTTCACAAACGTTTCACCCGCACCAACAAATCAACTTTGACTGCGGAAGGCGATATAATCCGGAAGAGATTGATGAAAGTGCTCCAAATCAACAAACCAATGAGGATCCGCATAAACCTGAAAGTCAAGGGCCTGATGCTGTTCCATTTCGAACAGAAAAGAAAATTCTTGTCTTAATCAATTTTTAAAAGAAAAAAAGGAAGATAGGGATTTTCGAAGAAATGCATTGACTAACTGGTGAAGCCACCTCAAAAAATCGATGACGAGCATGACCTGTTCGTGGCGGCCACTGTTAAAAAATTCCGACCAGACCTCGTTACTCGTACAAAAGCAAAAAAATTTGAAATAGTGACTGAAATGGAACTATTGAACTTAAACGCCGCCAATTCCAAATTCTTCAGGATTCAGCAATCTAGTATATAGTGGAAACCGGACGCTATACTCCATCCTCGTGGACAAACAATTCAGAAGCTTCTAGCGCCAGTGACATAGTGTCTAAATCCTTCATGCAAGTTTTTGAATGTGAAGGAAACTTAGAATGTTTATGTTGATGTTATTTTAAATTAGTGAATTTCTTAATTTTTTTGTACTTCTTAATTAATGTATTTCTCAATTTTGTATTATTCTTTGAAAGTTAAGATAATAAATGTTATGGTTTCTTTCTTAATTTTATTATTCTGTCCACTTACCTCAGAGTTGAAGCCAATTTTCCTGCAGGTGTAATTTGTATCTTGACTCGGTTACAGGAAGAAATTTTCAGTTCCTCTTCTACAAGGTTCAAAACATATGCGAACCTTTCCCGGGACAGCCTAAATTACCTTTTCCTGAAAAATACTTTGAAAATACTTTTTCCTGAACTTTACTTCTTCACCAATGAGATGGCTATTGATTGAAAGTTTGAAAAACCCCTCGTTTTCCCGATTTTTATAAAAGTCACTTATTTATTTTCAAAAGTACCCGTGTTTTCAGAAAATATGGTCCTCTTCATCATTTTTCATTTGGTAAAGAATAATCATTGCAATAATTTTCTTTCATCATTGGATTTGTCCCATAATGACACACCCGAGACACTGTTCGTTGTCCGTCAGTACGTCAGCTGAACAGATAAACACGCTTTGCTAGGAAAACATTAAAACGCCGCGTGATAAGTTTCACGCCCCTACCGACGCAATTGGGACGAACCCGGTTCCTGCTGCGCAAAAAACACGTCGCTAGGAAAACCTACCTTAACTCTGGAGCCGACAGATATTCTGGTCAGCTTTGATGTTGTACCGTTGTTCACCAATGTCCCATTGGAAGACTCTCTGAAAGGGCTAGCCTACTTGTTTCCGAGTGACATCGGAGGGGCTCTTCACAGCATGTCTCACGGGGAGTTTCTTTCAATGGCGGGGTTACTTCAAAGAGCAAGTAGATGGCGTGGCGATGAAAAGTTCACTTAGCCCAGTAGTAGCCAACTATTTTATGGAACGTTCTGAAGAGAAAGCAATCGAAATCTTCCAATTAAAACCGACCTTGTGGCTACGTTACTACGTTACGCAGATGACACCTTCGTCATCTGGAAACATGCAAGGGATGCTCTAAACTTTTTCCTAGACCAAGACCCCAGCATCAAGTTCACCATGGAGACTGAACAGGCCAACAGATAGCAATCCTAGATGTACTCATCGAACGATGTGGTGCAAGACTTACCCACAAAGTGTACCGAAAACCCACGCACACGGATAAATACTTGCACGCACTATCGAACCATCATGCTAGTCAAAAGAGAGGGCTGGCTTTGGATGATTACGTCAAATGGGAAGGGTGGTGGTATAAATATCACGATTGAACTGGTTGAACTCTCAAGGAGGCGGAAGAAGGCGCAGCAAGAAATGCATACCTGCATTGCATCTCCTATTCCAACTGAACGAGCTCGAAGAATATGTGAATCAGAGCATCTCGAGGAAGAACTGGAACATATTCAAGTGACCTTGAAATCGTGTGGATATAGTGTTCCCGAGATCAACAAGGCCATGGAACTGAAGAGTCCCACGGTTCAAAATGGGAAGGAGGCTCAGATGGTTGGAAAACTCTTGGGAAACACAACATCGAAATGGTTCTCAAACCCTCCAAAAAAATACAAAAAAGTCTCAGGTCAGCTAAAGATAAGAGAGACTAACTATCAGCAGCAGGTGTGTATCGCATACCTTGCACTTGTGGAAAGCTATGCATCAGAATCACCAAAAGATCCATTGGAACAAGGCTGAAGGAGCATGAAAGAAACTGCAGACTAGGCCAAACGAATAAGTTGGTTGTGGCGGAAAACGCACTAAGTGAAGAAAACCACAAAATTCTGTTCGAGAAAACGAAACCCAACCAGAGTTATCATAGCCGACTGGTTTTGGAGGCAATAGAGATCCACAAACACAGAAAAGAAGAAGCTGTGAACCTCAACCGAATATGGAATTCCATTCTTAGAAGTTCAACAATGGCAAACAGTATGACGGCAGGAAGAAAAGGGTCGACGAGTGATATTAACAATTTATCAAATACAGGTACAGGTATTAGCACACCAAACTACTTAAGTCAACATGAATACGCTTTACACAGCCGTAATAACCAATCATCGAAGATAACTCAGTAATATAGGAATGTAGGCTTTCACGACTAACATCAAGGTTTTGGTTGGTTGACGAGTTTTGCCGTCGTCTTCTTTGGTTTCTCCGAATGTTTCAACTGCAACTGCTGCAGTCAGCTTCAATGGCGTGGAGGAAGTAAACTTCTTGACGCATCTACTGAAACCTGAAACTTAAGATAACTGCCGCAGTTGCAGTTGAAACATTTGGATATTGTAACCAAAGAAGACTACGGCAGAACCCGGAAATCAACCAAAATATAACTGTAATAGTTGGAATAGCGTTTAATTGAACTTTCCTATTATTCGCAACGGTTGATTAAAACAATTCACAAAAAATAAAAAATATCGAAAATGAATTTCTGCGTTTTCACTGAAATAGTTCAGCATATTTCAAATTCGAAAGAGTATCATTCATTTGTAGGTATTTGACAAAAAAGTTCTTATACGATTTCTATAGTTTCAATAGGGAAATCTGTGAATTTTCAATATCAAATCTAAGAGAGGTATCAAAAAATGTTTCATTTTTTTATATTATATTGAATAGTATATACCTACATTTTTTTCAAATTAGTGGCATATCAGCCCTTATATGGTTTTCTTATCGGACACCCCCCCTGCTGGTATATCAACTCTACTATTTTTCAATGTATTTATTGCCTTGATTATCTAGAGATGAACAATCAAAATGAAATTGTAATATATTGTGGCTACTTTGATGTACATTGCCGGGTTTACTCAACGTACGAAAAAAATAAGCACGGCCCTGTGTTAGGACTTCCAAATCACCAGCTCGAAAAGCGCATTAGTGTGGCAACCCTGACAGACTGGCAACGAATTAAATTTCCCGTCTCTCTTGTTTGCCGTAGACACGTAAATGCTTTCATAATAATAAATGGTCGGATTTTCAGGATTTCCGATTCCTCATTTAAAAATCTTTATGCTGGAAAATGCTGATAGTTTCTTCGTCTCTGTCTCACATCTCATTCTTGTTATTTAACCAAACGTGATCAGATCTTTTCGCGAGATATATGTTCAAGTTTCATATAAATCCAATGTCGTGGGTTGTAAGTATTGATTTTTCGAAGGATAAGGTCACGTAATAGAATGGTTGGTGTGTGATATCTATCAATGTGATTTAATCAAATGGGAATTGGAAACTACTAAGAATAATGCGCATTGTGATAAAATGATGATGTTAATATAAATGAAATATTCATGTTAAAAATTAGGTTTCGGATTTGAAATCGCAGGTAGAACTTTGTTTTTGAATATCTGATATCGGCTATTTATTGGCTGCTATTCACATGATCGATGATATTTTTCTAATAAAAGTTCACAAAACCACAACACGTTTCACTATACAATAGCTTATTCGGGCGTATTCAACGCCAAATATCCACTGTGTAAGCAACATCCTTTCGACTAGTAAGTTTATTGCACATTAATCAATCAAGCAATCAATTTATTAGTTGAAGAAGTGTTCAATTAAAATACATTGTAACATACTAACTTAGGTAACACGTCAGATGTGCTTAACAAAGACAGACCAATCAACCTAACATTAAAATTAAAACTAGGCTATCAGAGTCAAAAAAGAGTATTTGTAAACAGAAGAATGGTATACACAAATTACAATTACTAGCAACATTATTCTTGAAAACATTTTAAAAGCAGCCGTTTTTTTTTAAACAATCGATGGATTTGTGATCCAATACGACATCACTATTTCAACCCACCAAGTCTCATCAGTGGTGCTAGGCTGAATCACCGAACTTTACTAAAAAGAAAAAGCCTAAAAGTAAAGGTGATGGCATCTCCTTTCTTTCACGAAGACGCCACCTATGGGATCGACAGGAGACACAATCCCCGAATATCAAGGATTGATGGGGCTCCCCAAGGCGGTCCGTAGCAAAGCCAACCTTCGACATCGACCGCAGAACGAGATTTATCTTCTGTTTTTCACTGCAGTTTTCATCAAGGGTGCCAGGCTGAACCACTGAAGTGTGCTGAGAAAAACAAGCCTGATGGTAAATATGATATATTTCCCTATGAAGACGCCATCTATGGGATCGATAGGAGACTCAATCTCCGAATATCAAGGATAAACGAGGTTCTCCATTATTTCTTCGCTGACAAAAAACGCATATTGAGTCAAACGTTTAATTGAAATGAATCCCTAAACATTTTTCGTTTTCAGATGGCAAACAACTTTATAGTATTATCACTCTCACTTCAATTCATTGGTCGTTTAGCACCATTTATTGATGTGGTTGCAGTTTTTAATTTTCCCGAACGATCATTTTCTACCACGCTGGCACGATCAGCTGCTTGAAATTGCAAAGTGTTATATTATGGTGCAGATTCCCAGTTATTTTCGATTGGCGTAGGCATATTGCCTTTCAAAAAAAATTGATGACAACTGGGTACAGAATTTTTTCATTTTCGCAGAAACACTTCGACTTTCAGCTTGTCAAATGTAGGAAGAGCTTTCTGAATTCCGTTATGGTCCCGCCCACTAGATGTGCGTTCGTTAGAAGTCTATTAGAGAGAAAGAGAAAGAAAATTCTCAAGTCTCTTCCTAGATTTGACAAGCTGTACTTAACCGAACTTTATTCCCCAGGTCTTATTGACGAGTTCCAACTGGTAATTAAAAAAAATGTGAGCCATCACGGAAAGCCTGTAGATGTGAAACATCAATAATAATATTTTCTGATTCCTGTGGTGATTATTGGGTACTGAAATATTTATAAAAAATATGTAATCAAAGTATACATCAAAAAATTCAATACGGTTTTAATATACTAGTAAACTGAAGAATCTCAGCTAGTTATTGCAATATATTACTGAAGATTTTGAATTATAAATATCGATAATAAATTCCACATCACTATAAAATAAATTACTTAATTAATTAGTTTTTTGATGTGTCTGTCGTCAGTTTTTATGAAATTAATTCTTCAAGCAAGTGTTTTAGTGCATGGTTTTTCATAAGAATGAAAATAAAATCAATTAATAATTAATTTAAAAATATTGTATGCTATGAAAACTCTGTAAATTTTAATCTAACAAGAGAGTAGGTTTTACATTTACTGACCCTTGGGACACACCAAATATACGCGGGCTTAATGCACAGATAAATGCACACTGATGACTTGATAGTGCAGGAAGCTGCTCACTTTCACTTTATAAATTATCCCATTTTATTTTTAATCATTTTCAAAAAGTATTTATTCAGTAAAACACAGGTTATGTATACTGTAGTAAACACAACTGTATACACCTATAGGTATCCAAGCTCAGTGTGGCGAGAGAGATAACGTAACGCCGAACCAGTGGGAAGAGAATCGCACAGTAGCTTGGGCATGGTGACTCGTCGTCACGCCAGCAATAGGTTTCACATGCGACTATAGATATTTCACATCAAAAAACCTAGCCTAAACTCCGAATTTAACAAAATTCAGAGTTTAAAGTCGGAATTTGATAAATTCCGAATCCAACCACGTTCTACTGAAAATATAATAGACTCGCTTACAAAACCATACTGAAATTCCAGGAATACCTGCTTAAATCTTGAATTGATCATCGCTTAGTTAAGAATTTGATGTACAAATCTCATGAAATTAAGACACCCTTGATATATGAAATTGGAACCACTTGTTAATTCGGTTAGCAAATCGGGCATCCAGAGACAGTTTTCAGTTCTTATGTGGAAAACGTTTTTTAATTGTAAGACATCCTTCAATGTTATGGTACCGATCAATGAATTTTTCTTTTAGAAATGAAGAGCCAGTTATGATAATTCTAAGCATTCGAGCTTTTTGAAGTTGGGTTCAGCTATTGTTCGTAATGAGCTGGTGGGCTCTGCGATGAATATTTGAATTCTTCTTCCATGTGGGTCCGCTTGTGTGTTATTTTTCTACCTGTTTATCATCTATTGAAAAAAATTTGCCACCAAACGAAATGAGCACGATTTGTATTTATTTCATTAGAAATAACAAACGTCCAACGCTTTCCAACCTCTCCTCACATGAAAATCGTGTCAATTATTCAAAATTATTCAAACGCTTAGTTGGTTACCACTGAACAGCACAAATATAACTGAATTAGTGATTCAGTATGAATCAATAACATTTTGAGAGAAATTTTTTACTTACAGCAAGCGGGTACTTTTTGAATCTTTTCAAAGAAATATAAAAATAGTTATCACTATTGTGGTAAGTTTCACTTACAGTTTTTATAATTTTATTTATTTCAATCAGTTCATAAATGAAAAGTTATGCCAGCTTGAAGAATGACATCAACCATTTTGTTAGATATCGGAGGATACCCTGCCATTCTGTAGACGTGTGCGTGTGCGTGCAAGTTAGAGACAAAACACACGGAGCGGTTTCTGGCGAGTCGGCGCCGACTCGACAGAGAAGCGGCTCAAAACACACGAGGCGTCACCGCAGCTTACGACCGACACGTTTTTATCGAGACATCTTTCGCAGTTGTCTAGTTGTGTCTGAGTGGTTCGCATCGTTGGCATAAAGTATGAATTCTTCTGACAGTGATGATGATTTGCTTTTCCTAATAACTGCAGGCTTATTATATAACAAAATTAAGAAAAAAAAAGAATCGCAAATATTGGATACATCCCATAATAAATGAGAGGAAAAATAGAGGATTTTTTTACACACTGTATGACGAACTTACGGAGATCCAGATAAATTCTTTAATTTTACCAGAATGTCAAGAGGAACATTCCAAGAATTGTTGTCAATAATTAAAGATTCATGTTCAAAAAGAAATACCACCATGAGGGAAAGCATACCAGTAGAAGAAAAGCTTCTTATAACTTCAAGGTAAGATAAATAAATAAAATCTAAAAAAATATTTTCATTCTTAAAAAAGTATTATATTATCATGTTTATTAGCAAAATAGCATTTGAAATAATTGGGTTATATCCGTATCTTGGGAATACGAGCTTCCAGGCGACATCAAAGGGGATTCAGTACTCTGCCGCTGAATCCCAGAAGGCCCAGCTTGGGGCTCTTGTTGTGAAGGACTTTGGTTAAAGTCTGGAAGTCCGGAAGGTCCAGCATGTGGATTTAAATATTGCCATTGATGTAGTATTCCAGATTGGTGGTTTGGAGCCTGGGTGGGAATTTGGTTATACGGTAATTGTTGTGAGTATACAGAGGGGGCTGGTGACTGTATGGAATTATATTTATTTATGCTTTGCATAATGTCCATTCTCGCAGCAAATTTAAAGTGTGGGGGAATGGATTTCATAAAAGGCACTAATAATAACAAAAATAATCTATCGTCGTCTTCTTCAGAATTTACTGTTTGTGCTTTTTGTTTTTGACGAATACTATGATTATCAAGGGCCTCCACAAGTTTTTTTCCAGTGTGTTTCCTTTTCTTTTTTTTGGCGACATGAACAGTAGGAGAGTCATCATGTATTGTAGCAGGACTTTCTGACGCAGATTCACTCTGACTGTTTGGTGATAGAGGAGCCCCATCATCCATAGATGTATCTGTGGAGCGACGTTGGATTACATCTGACAAAAAGCCCAATTGGTTGGCGTACATATAGGAACTTTTGACTTTTCGTCCTTGTCCTGACTTTTATTTATTTTCTTTAAGTTCCCTGACGTACCTATCCCTTATGTTTTTCCATTTTTTTTGAAGCAAAATGCCTGAAAAAAAGCTTTATTTGATAAGTACCCTTTTATTTCAGGTACCTAGCTACTGGCAATTCATTTGTCGATTTGCACTATGCTTTTAGAATTGGAAAATCCACAGCAAGTTTAATCACCCAAGAAGTTTGTGAAGCTATATGGACACATGCTAGACATATAACTTTTCCGTCGTTAACTACTGAAAAATGGCTCGAAATAGCCGAAGGATTTAAGAAACATGCAGATTTTCCACATTGCATAGGAGCCATCGATGGAAAACATATAAGGATGATAAAACCTGCTAATAGCGGCTCTATGTTCTACAACTATAAAAATTATTTTTCAATGGTACTTTTTGCAATGTGTGATAGCAATTATTTATTTACATACGTAGACGTTGGCTCCTATGGAAAATCTAGTGATTCTGGAATTTTTAAAAATTCCACACTATATGAAAGAATGATAAATGATACACTGGAAATTCCTCCAGCAGATTCCATCAAAGGAGATGTAATTGATTATCCATTTGTAATAATAGGAGATGAAGCCTTTCCACTCTCAGAAAATTTACTTAGGCCCTATGGTGGATCAAATTTATCTTTTGAAAAAAAAATTTTCAACTACAGATTGTCAAGAGCTCGAAGATACATTGAATGTACATTTGGTATTCTGGCTAATAAGTGGCGAATTTTCCACAGACCGCTTAACGTATCTGTTGATTTCGCCCAAGATATAATCAAAGCGTGCTGCGTACTCCATAATTTGGTCAGATTAAGAGGTGGACACCGTGATTATGACATTAGATCAGCAAATGGCTTGGCAAATTTAGCCACTGATTCATTGAGCAGAGGAAATCCAAGAGCTCTTAACTGCAGACAAAAATTCACTAACTATTTTGTTAATATTAATCCGCTGGAATGGCAAAACGCACAAATATGAAAATTATCATTAAGTTAATACAAGGTGTTTCAGTTTTTTCGTTCATAACTTCTGTAAGCGATATAACATATTAAAATAATATGAGTCTTTTCTATAACATTTTTCTATAAAACGCTTCGTTTTCAAGATACAGGGCGTTAAACTTTAAAAAAGTACTACTATTTATTCGTTATCTCCCAAACAAATAAAAAAAATTTATTCAAACTTTGTACACTTAGTCATAATATAATCCCCATAACTACGACACTGCTTTTCCAAGGAAAATTTTTGGAACATCAAAAAATTGGTCTTTTATTATGACTAAAGTGTACAAAATTTAAATAAAAAATCTGTACTTATTTGGGAGATAATAAATAAATATTGATATTTTTTAAAAAGTTCAACACCCTGTATCTTGAAAACGAAGCGTTTAGAGAAAAATGTTATAGAAAATACTTTTATTATGTTCTATCGTTTACTGAAGTTATGAACGAACAAACTGAAACACCCTGTATAATTAAATACTGATGATTTTTTATTAATAAATAAATTTAGTTTTCATGTAATTACCCATTTGTTTTTTCTCCTCCACTGCAGCACCCTCATCAACAAAGGCGTTGGTTACCTCTTCCCAAGAACTTTTCTTTTTTATTTTGTTGGAATAATCCTCTGAACGCATATCCCAAATCGCTGGTCTAATATGAATCTCATTGATGAATTTCTCAACGTCTAAAGTTTCCATACTGGTCTGACAACGCCGAGTCACTTGTTAATAACAAAAACCGCTTACGTGTGTTTAGTCTCATAAGCAAACATGTACTGATGTGCCGACTACAGTCGTAAACCCGCGCGCGGTGCATGATGGCCAGCAGGATACGCGCTGCCACCGCCATCACGAACCGCGCGTTGACGCACCGTCTGTTTTATTCAATAGAACTGCCATAAAGGATGCACCGCTTCGGCAGCCGAGTCGGCTGCCGACTCGGCAGAAACCGCTCCGTGTGTTTTAGTACTTATTCTATTACGCGCTACATAAACAACAGGAATAGCCAGGTATTTTGTAAAATGAGACGAATGTCTCATAAATTGTGAATTGTGTTTAAAATCTTTTTTTCAAAAAATTTTGGAAAAAAGGCTTTAAAAATACTGTTTAGTTGATTTGGCTGAAACTTTGATTACCTTATACTTTAGGTTCGTTAAACAATCCTTTTATGAATCTAAGACAGGCAATTACAGAAGCATTGTATGCTGTAAGAAACACAAAAAAACTGGAAGTCCACGCGAACAACAGATAGAGTTAGTTATGAAATATGTAAATTGTATTCCACATTTTTAATCGATGTACATTTTGCAAGGAAGAATCAAAACACCTTATCTGAGACTGAAAGCCCACACAGATAGTTTCGAAATCGAATCTTGGAAACTTTTCCGGAGGATGGCCATGAGCGATACCGGAAATCGTTTTCTGAAGGGTCGGGGAGCGAGAGGAACAGACGGGTGTCGAGGCACCCCGTTAAGGGGTCTTGTGTATCGATTACCAGTGCGCTCGACAAGGTGCTTGTCACGTCTGATACACAAGTGAAATGGCTGTTTATGGTTTGGTGCTTCTCCGGGCGCGGCGGCGGTATAACGGTCCGGATGTCAACTCTTGCCGTGGAAAAGGTCTACGTGAATGAAGTACACGGTGGAACGAAAAACCGATAACCCGACATTGAAATCAGTGTTGTCGCATGATTATTTTGCTGACAGCTAGTTATGTGATCGAAAGAGGCAATGGCCATATTCTTATAGTTCTCAAAGACGGTTAATCAGACATTTTTTATTATAGCCTGAATTCGGGACATTGAAGAGAGCTGGCTATGAAAACGTGAGCCGAAATCTAAATTCGTCAATTGACGTTTCTCTATCGTGTTACACTGGTATTGCTATTCTTGTATACTACACGAATATAGTTGTTTTCAAATCCAATAAACTGTGTGTATTTCACATTTCATCGTATGTATATGTCGTTATATACATTTTAAACTCAAATTGTACATGACCCTATCAAATGTTCCACACACTGAAATATTTCCATTATCAAATGAATCTAAGTTGGAATATAAAATGTGATTAGGACGGTAGCCGGTTGGTTGGGGTGGGTGGTTTGCTCTACTGTAACCCGGAGTTACTTTTTAGAGAATTTCATAAATAAAAGCAATTCTTTATTGAAAGGTTATGTTGTTTCTGAGTAGCAGCTACATCGTTTCGTTATCATTACTTTGTCGGCTAAGGATATGGTTCGAAATTATTTGGTTACTAACAAGAAATTTAGACAGCGATTGTCTGAAAAAGCATGAATTAATGGTTATTTTTTGGAAAACATTCGATTGTCAAGTTCAAAAAAAAATATTTATTCATAGATAAAGTTGATCTATTATTTCTGTCCATGGAGATCATTTGTTAACGAATGGACATTTGCCTTTTTTTTTCGCAAAGTATTTTCGACTCACGATGAAGAGAACTTATAGCTTCGAGCCATATAAACAAAATATATGTACTTACAGCTATTTATATAATATGTACGGAATATATTGATACACACGTCGTAAACAAGATACTATCATCAATATATAACACAACGATAATTTATTCGTTTTTAACCTTCGTTTTCAAGAATTGTTGATGTATTAGAAACTATTAACATGTGATAATAATATGATAATCGGGTGTAAACTAAATGCGCACGCTTCTCTTGCATAATGAATCATTTCAGAATTATTTACGATGTTCATAAATACTATTACAGATATAGTTAATTAATTGATTACTCAAAATCTTAAATTACTTAAATTTACTATTTAAAGAACAATGATAATATCAATAGGGTTGGTGAGTTGAATATCTTACTTTACCGCAATAAAAAAGTGTATGTGTTGTCTGGTTTGATATGAGTAAGAATTGATATTAGTGCATTCTCCGTCTTCGTTTTTCCCACACTGTACCCACTGACGAAAGTAGGGACTATCAACATTGAAGTCTTGAAAAATAGTTTTCATCATCGGAGATCAACCAGGGATCTTCCAACTTGTCACACATACGAGTGGGTTTCATCTGTTGGGAGATATCCAACCGATGTTACTAAATCCAGCGTTAATATACACCATTTTCATTCAACGTTATCAAATTAGTTTAATAATGCTAAAACTTCAAGAAAGAGGATTGACGTTACGAAACGGATTTATTGAGTCGTGTAAACACCTACTTCAAGGGATGTAATGATTCAGTGACAGACAGAATGTGTCAGATATTTTATTCAATATGATGCCTATTTAAACGACATAAGATCTCGCTGTCTTCTCGACTCGATTCGAAACAAGCAGGTGATTAAGGTTGATCAAATATTTTCCCATTCAGTGAATTCTACTTATGTAAAACTTATTTGAAAACGTATGCCAACTTGTTTCAGAACATTGAAATATAAATATAATCGATATAGGATATTTTGGTCTCTTTTGACAAAAAATAAATAGGAATTCTTAGGACAACTGCATTTTCAAGTTTTTACCTGAATATATGTATAACGAATATCCCCAGAAAGTATTAATGTCATCACAAAAGGTTTATCGTAGCTATAGTTACGCTAGATATATGGAAAAAAATACCCAGGTGGTGTTTATGCTGTAAAATTTGGTCATAAAGTGTATTTTGCAGCGGATCTATGAAGAAAACTTCATGTCTGTGTACCTCTATAATAATTACGAAATGACGCGGAACTACGAGTGTCATATTATCATCTTCGGCACTTCTATGGTATTGAGGAAACATGGATATTGGCCCTATGCTCCTGGGAATATTGAATCCATTGTGGGGAATAAGAAGTACTGAATTCATTGGAATCATTCATTTCTCATCCTCAGAATGATAGAAGTGAATGAGCCTGATGTAGTCTTCCTCGACCATCAAAGTAAGACGATATTGAAAAAAAGAGAATTGAAACTTTATGTGTTTTTCACCACTTTTATTTGTCACTAACGTTACAGCAGTTTTGTCCTAAAAGGACATTTTCAAATGTATACATTAAAGTTATACAAAAAGTTCAATGTATAAGTTTGAAAATGTCCTTATAGGACGAAACTGCAGTAACGTTAGTTACAAATAAGAGTGTTAAAAAACATAAAACGTTTCAATTCTCTTTTCTTCGTTACGATTTTCTACCACATAGTAACGGCTACATCCATCAATTTATTGTAAAACGATATTCGTTGTGGAGTTTTCAGCTCGAGACAAATATCGCCCGAAAATAGGAGAAAAACTGGATAACTATTGAATATCAAATCAAAATGTACTTTATTGTCGAAGATGAAATCTCATTGACAAAGTGTTACTATTCTAAGAAATATAAGATACACAACTTAAAACATTTTGTCGAAGATAAAATATTATTGTCAAAA